CCCTAAACCCTAAACCCCAAGATGTCTTGTTTTGCGAGCCATGTTTGGAGCAGCCTGGACCTGCCGTCTCCTGCAGTGGTCCGAGCACCAAAGCAAGCGCCGGCCAAGTGCCGCAAAGTTGCGGCAAAGCCGGAGGTGGACTTGGGGTTTAGGGTTTAGGGTTTAGGGGTTTAGGGTTTAGGGTTTAGGGTTTAGGGTTTAGGGTTTAGGGTGTAGGGTGTAGGGTTTCAGGTTCGGGTTTCGGGTTTAGAGCTTTTTGGGATGCAGTGCTTCTATGACGGGCTGTTGGCTTTAATCCTGGTTTCGTCGAAGCCTTGTCTCGCGACCGTAAAATGCCATGTCCAGGCTACGGCCAGCAATGACCTAAACCCCTAAACCCTAAACCCTAAACCCTAAACCCTAAACCCTAAACCCTAAACCCTAAACCCTAAACCCTAAACCCTAAACCCCAAACCCTAACAGACTGAACCCCAAACCCTGGAGGGCCTACAATCCTGAAACCTAGGCCCTCAACCCTTGAACCTTGAGGTCCAACATAAATCTTTAGGTGTTTAGGGTTTAGGGTTTAGGGGTTTAGGGGTTTAGGGTTTAGGGTTAAGAAGCCCTTGCGCCCAGGTCCTACTGTAGGAACCTGATTAAGAAACCCTAAAAATATGAGCATCCATACAAAGAGCATTAACGAGCTACAAAGAAGACCCAAGGCTTTTAAAGCAGGTTCTTCTATCAAGCCGCAAAGCCTGTAGCTTCAGAACCCATGCCCTGGTAAAGCCGTAGATGACGCATTTTGGTAGGGTCCCCTTTGGGGTCCTTGTTTCTAAGGGTGCCGGTACCATCTTGGAGACCCGCAAAGGGACCCTAATTTAGAGCACTACGCATAAAGACACTAGATCATAGTCTGCGTAACATCAAGAGCCTCTTTCTAAAGCTACACCCTACGCCCTAAACCCTAAAACCTAAACCCTAAATCCTAAACCCTAAACTCCGTGCCCTAAGACCTTTCTCAGATTCGTTGAGGAACCCAGGGTCTCCCTAAACCCCAAACCCTAAACTAGGGTTTAGGGTTTAGGGTTTAGGGTTTAGGGTTTAGGGTTTAGGGTTTAGGGTTTAGGACCTATAAACTTGGACCCAAGCTGTCAAACCTAGAACCACCTCCGAACGCCCTCAAGCCCCCTAAGCCCTAAACCCGAAACCCTAAGCCCTAAGCCCTAAACCCCCAGCCCGAAACCCAAAGCCCTAAGCCCTAAACCATAAACCCTAAACCCTTTTTCATAAAAGCAGGGAACTCCTGAGGCGCAAAGCAGAACGAAACAACAGCAACCCACCATTTGGGTGGTTGTCAAAATTATGGTCCCTTCTGGGGTACCCTAAATAATAGGTGCCGTATTATAATAAGGACCCAAAAAAGGACCCTAAACCCTAAACCCTAAACCCTAAACCCCTAAACCCTAAACCCTAAACCCTAAACCCTAAACCCTGAACCCTAATTTTGACAACCCACCCAATTTGACGCCCAGGGCACCTGGAGCCTCCTCCCTCTGGCGGTGGCTCGGCTTCGCTGTAGGGGTTTAGAGGTTTAGGGGTCTATTTTAGGGTTTAGGGTTTAGGGTTTAGGGTTTAGGGGTTTAGGGGTTTAGGGGTTAGGGTTTAGGGGTTTAGGGTTTAGGGTTTAGGGTTTTAGAGGTTTAGGGTCCAGACGGTTCAGGGTCCAGAGGGTTTAGGGTTTAGGGTCTACACGGTTCAGGGATCAGGCTTCAACGGTTTCGGGCTTCGGGGGTTTAGGTTTCGGGGTTGTGCAAGGGATCCGATCTATTTTTTATAAGGAACCTGATTAAGAAACCCTGGCCCTACTGTTGATGATATAAATCCTGCATTACCTTAAGGACCCTAAACTATGGGAATTATGGTATATTCCTTATTGTGGGACAATGCAGGATTTATATCATCAACCGTATAACCCCAATGATATAAGGTTTCATATTGAGGACCCCGTTTGCAGACACTAAACCCTAAACCTTAAACCCTAAACCCTAAACCCTACTGCAGACCCAGGATTTCCTAAGCAGGCTCCTATATATTAGGCAGCTGAGGGCTTTCAGAAGCTGCATTGACAGAGGTTGGGGCGTTTTGCAGGATTTGATCGGGATCCCTGAGGATCGGTGTAGCTTGTGGGGCCACAGATCATTTTGTGTGTTTGAAGGGCTTGGTGGTGTTTTCTTGTTACGATTCTGTGGGGTTTCAGGGTGTTTTAGAGGAACGACCAGGTGATGAAGGCTCTTCTGGACTGTGGGTGGATGTGATGATTTTGGTAGTTCTTCAGTTCTTCAGGTTGTAACTTTATACCACCCTCGCCCCCCAGACCCCACACTTTCTAAACCCAAAACCCAGACCCCAGACCCTAAACCCTAAACCCTAGACCCTAGACCCGGAACCCTAAACCCTACACCCTAGACCCTAGACCCTAAACCCTAAACCCTAAACCCAAAACCCAAAACCCTAAGCCCTGAACCCTAAGCCCTAAACCCTAAGCCCTAGACCCTAGACCCTAGACCCTAGACCCTAGACCCTGAACCCTAAACCCTACACCCTAGACCCCAGACCCTAAACCCTAAACCCTAGACCCTAGACCCTAGACCCTAAACCCTAAACCCTAAACCCTGACCCCAGACCCTAAACCCTAAACCCTACACCCTAGACCCTAGACCCTAAACCCTAAACCCTAAACCCTAAACCCTACACCCTAGACCCTAGACCCTAGACCCTGGGCCAGGGAGGCAGGAGATGAAATACTGACTGGAAGCCCGCACAGGCGAAGGCACACAGGAGACAGCCCCTCAGCCCTAAACGGGTCAGGGTTTAGGGTTTAGGGTTTAGGGTAAACCCTAGACCGGGTCTAGGTTGTTCGGTTTTGAGGGTTTTAGGGTTTAGGGTTTAGGGAGCCCTGAAACCTACATAAACCTTGGACCCCGAACCTAAACCATAACAAGGTCTGGAGTTAAGGGCTAAAGGTCAGGGCTTCAGTCAAACAAAAGGGTGTTTCAAAGATTGTATGTATCTTTTTTTTTAAACCACCTCTAGGTCAAAAAGCTTCTTAAGGCGTCTGAAGGCTCCTTATCCAGGTGTCCGTAATGTGGTTCTTTATCAGCGCTCCTTGTGACTGGTTTCCAGTTCCATGCCAGGTCCTTGGAGTGCGATGGAGCTCGAGGCTACTGAGACACGGGCGAAGATGCTTCGACGAGAGCCGGCCGTGCACCGGATGGAGGGATGAGGGTTTAAGGGTTCAGGGGCTCAGGGCTTAGGGGTTTAGGGTTTAGGGTTTGGGGTTAGGGTTTAGGGTTTAGGGTTTAGGGTTTAAGGGTTCAGGGGCTCAGGGCTTAGGGGTTTAGGGGTTTAGGGGCCAAGGGTTTGGGGCTTTGGGTTTAGGGTGCCGAAGCCTTTAGCCGTCGTGTTCAGCCCTAAAACATGGGAAGTCTATCCCGCGGAACTTGGCAAGTAAGGTTGTAAGTTCTTTAATCGGGGCTCAAAGCAATTGTATCTTTCATTGCCTTATTCATAGCCTTAGTTACTACGCCCCATGAACCTGTAAGTGGGGTGCAGGGTTTAGGGTCTCAGGGCCGCAGGGTTGAGGGCTATTCTGCCCCTAAACCCTGAACCCTAAACCGGCTCAAGCAGGGACTCCATACGCTTTCCGGGGGCTTCAGGGCTTAGGAGTTCCGATTAAAGCGGGCTTGGGTTCTACTCCAAGTACTTGAAACTGTGAACCCTTCGAGAAACCCTCACAGAACCTGTGTGGTACCCTCAACGGAATCCGAAAATCTAAGCTCCAAAGCCCTAAAGCTCTGAACCCTAAGCCCCGAAACTCCAAACCCGTATGGCACCAGTATAGAACCCTATCGAGCCTGCATACACCTTAACCTATAAACCCTCAACCCGAGACCCTCAACCCTAAACCCTAAACACTGAACCCTTAACCCTAAACCCTCAATCCTGGACCCTAAACCCGAAGCCCTAAACCCTAAACCCTGAAACACTGAACCCACAACCCTAAACCCCTAAACCCTAAACCCCTAAACCCTGAACCCTTAAGCCCTAAATCCTGAAACACTGAACCCTCAACCCTAAACCCCTGAAACACTGAACCCTCAACCCAAAACCCCAAAACCCTAAACCCCTGAACCCTTACTAAACCCTAAACCCTACACGCTGAGCCCCAAAAGCCCTAAACCCTAAAACCCTAAAACCCTAAAACCCTGAACCCGAAAACCCTGAACCCTAAACCCTTAAACCCCTAAAGCCCTAAAGCCCAAAACCGACGAAGGAGCCTCCCCTTCCTAAATCGCCAAGCCCATAATCGCAGTCTCACCCCTAAACCCTAAACGCCCTAAACCCTGAACCCCAAAAGCCCTAAACCCTAAGACCCTGAACCCCAAAAGCCCTAAACCCTAAAACCCTGAACCCCAAAAAGCCTAAACCCTAAAACACTGAACTCCAAAACGCCCTCAACCCTGAATTCCAAAAAGCCTAAACCCTAAAACACTGAACTCCAAAAAGCCCTCAACCCTGAACCCCAACAGCCCTAAATCCTAAAACCCTGAAGCCCAAAAAACCCTAAAACTCTGAACCCTAAACCCGAAACCCTGAACCCCAAAAGCCCTAAATCCTAAAACCCTGAACCCCAAAAAACCTAAAACCCTAAACCCCGCACACCCTTAACCCTTAATCCTAAACCCTAAACCCTAAACCCTAAAATTCTAAAACCCTGAACTCAAGGTGTCTCCTGGCCAGCCAAGCCGAGCCTGAGGCCCGGGCCCTGGCCTGGAAGCCCGAGGGCTGGTCGGATGGGAAGCCCAAGGGCAAGGGGAGGCCCCTTGGCCCGAAACCCGAAACCCTAAACCCTAAACCCTAAACCCTAAACCCTAAACCCTAAACCCTAAACCCTAAATCCTAAACCCTAAACCCTAAACCCTAAAGCCTAAACCCCTAAAGGGCAAGGGGAGGCCCCTTGGCCGGTTTTGGAGTTGATGGTTCCGTTAAGGGTTTCTTAGACGGACTACGATAATGGGTCTAGGGGTTTAGGATTTTGGGCTTTAGGGGTTTAGCGGTTAAGGGCTTTAGGGTTTGAGTTTAAGGAGAGGCTCTTGGTCGGTTTGGTGGAGACTACGATTATGGGATTTGTCGGCTTAGGGGTTTAGGAAGCCCTTGGTCGGTTTTGGAGTTGATGGGTTTGGGGTTAAGGTTTCAGGGTTTAGGAAAGGCTTCCTGTAGGTAGGTTTTGGAGTTTAGGATTTTGGTTTTGGGGTTCAGGGGTTCCTTGAAGGGTTGACTACGTTTATGGGTCTAGGGGTTTAGGGTTTTGGGTTCAGCGGTTTACGGTTTAGGGGGTTTGGGGGTTTAGGGTTTAGGGTTCGGGTCTGCGATGATAGGGTGTCGTCGGCTTAGGGGTTTAGGGTTTGGGGGTTTAGGAAGAAGAGGCCCCTGGGTCGGTTTTGGGGTTTAGGGTTCAGGAAAGGCTTCCTCTGTAGGCTGTAGGTTTTGGAGTTTAGGGTTTAGGGTTTAGGGTTTAGGGTTTAGGGTTTAGGGTTTAGGGTTTAGGGTTTTTGGTTTTGGCGCTTTTGGTTTTGGGGTTGGGGTTCTGAGTTTAGGGTTTCGGGTATTTCGGTTTTGGGTCTAGCGCCTACGGTTTTCCATTATACCAGACAGTCAAGCTCCTCAACCCTGCCACTAACTACTGAGAGGCACCCAACTTCTTAAACCCTAAAACCTAAACCCCTAACCCCTAAACCCTAAACCCCTAAACCCTAAACCCTAAACCCTAAAACCTAATAAAGGCATGTCAAGGGTTCAAGGGTTTAGGGCCTTGAGTTTGCGAGGTTGA